GTCTTGGTCAAGGTGGCGGTGACGGGGTAGCTGCCGAGCCGGCCTCGGGCGAGGGGGCCTCGGGCGAGGCGGAGAGTTGGTACCTCGTCCGAGGCCTTTCGGGCGGGGCCTCGGGCGAGGGGGCCTCGAGCGAGGCATAGAATTGGTACCTTGTCCGAGGCCTTGCGACGTGGGTCTTGGGCGAATCGGAGAGTCGGCCGAGGCCCCGTGGTTGTCTCTTGGCTTCAATATTTATAAGGTCTAAGCAATTTTTTCGGTTCTTGCTTAGGGTACCCCTTTTTATGGTATCCGACAGTACCATTCACGTTGTTTTGATAGTTTTTTTTCCTGTTACAACGTACGAACATATTTGCTAGTGACTACTCTCTCCAAGAATGATCTTATAGGTTTAGACCAATATAAATCGTTGCAACTTGCAAGTTTAAAAAAAACAATATTTGAGATACCAAATTAGCACAATTAAATTTAATTTGCCATGTAATATAGTTTCATAGTACATCTATTTGCTATCATCCTTCATTTCCGAACGTTTCTTTTCTTCTTCTAGAGTGATTCTTGCTTCCTCTTCCACTAGCTACACCGATGCTTCTAATAATAACTAGTTTCATCGTTGCCTGCTTTCACTTTGTTGTTGCTTCCTGCAGGCACTTCATATACATTGGCTAGCGGTTACGACTCTCGCTCAACTCTGATCTACTGGTTTACCATGGTCAACATCCCATTTCCGAGCTGATCTGATCCTGCCTGACACCTCCAAAATTGACGACAAAACCATTTGAGGAAGCACCGGTGAGCCTAGCAGCCCTGAATCAGCTACGTACGATTGTCTTAAAATAAGCCCAGATCTAATTCTTATGCACCAAAACCAACTTCATCTTCGGCAGGATCAAAGGACAGAGCGGAGGGTAGCACACAAGACTCATATTCGTCACCCTATGCAAGCGCAAAGCACACATCAAGCTATATATATTGGAGTAACGAATTAGGTTGAGCTTTGGCTCATCTCTATATGGCGGCAGCTGCCGTGGTGAGCGTCTCCACGGGGGTCATGAAGCCCCTCCTGGCGAAGCTCACCACCCTCATGGGCGATGAGTACAAGAAGCTCAAGGGCCTACAGAAAGATGTGACCTTCCTCCAGCGTGAGCTCAGCGACATGGATGCCCTCCTTGAGAAGATGGACAGCGTCGATGAACTTGACCCGCAGGCAAAGAAATGGAGGAGAGACATAATTGAGATGTCATACAACATTGAAGACCGCATCGATGACTTCATGCATTGTGTTGGTGAAGCCAACCACAAGATGGGGATCCTACAGAAAGCTTCCCACTATGTCAAGACTTTTAAGCATCGCCGCCAACTAGCAAATGAGTTGCAAGGGATCAAAACTCTAGTGACTGAAGCAAGCAACCGTCGAAAGAGGTACATGCTTCATCAATGCATATCGGTTACTACCCCTGTAGTTGTTCATCCTCGCATGTCGGCACCATACAAGGAGTCAGCAAGCCTTGTGGGAATTGATGTCCAAAACGATGAGCTTGTCAACTGGGCAATGGACGAAGGCAAACAATTGAAGTTTATGGCAATAGTAGGATTTGGAGGTATAGGAAAAAACACTCTTGCCAATGAGGTGTATCGTGAGGTTGGAGGCATGTTTGAATGCAAGGCGTTTATATTCGTCTCTCAAAAGCCACAAGTGATAGGGCTATTCAACAGCTTGCTAGAACAACTTGGGTTGCAAAAATACTCCCATGCTTGTCAATTGCAAGATCCTATCAACCGCCTCCAAGGACATCTACAGGATAAGAGGTAGACACTATTAATGATTTTTGCTTAATTAATTTATAAGAATTGACATTTTGGCAGTGGTTTATAATCTTACTATTACTAATTAGAGACTCCAACGGAGGCACCACGTTAATTCTCATCAGACGCGCTATGAGAAAAAGATAAATCTTAGAAATTCTCATGATAATGAGAAACATCTAGCGTCGGATTTGGTAGACTCTAATCATCATCACCAATAATAACTATAGGATCTATTGTAGTTTATTAAAAAATTACCCACCATTGCCATTATGAAAAATACATAAACCCTCCTAATTTTGCATGTAAATTGCCCACCTTTGTCATTACAAAAGATAATTCAAAATAACCCCCTATCTTTGCATATAAATTACCCACATTTGCCCATTATGAAAAAAAAATAAAAAAACCTTCTAACATTGCGCCTAAATTACCCATTTTTGTCATTATAAATGATAATTTAAAATAATCCTCTAACTTTATATCTAAATTACCCACATCTCCTACTATGAAAGATAATTTAAAATATCTCCTAATAAGTTTATAAATTATCCACATTTATCATTACAAAAGATAATGAAAAGTAATATTCTAAGTTTGCATTTAACCTATCCATATATGTCGTTGTGAAAGATAATGTAAGGTATTACCTTTATATTTGTAAGTACCTTAGCTATTATAAATAAATAAACAAAAAATCTCTAGAATCTACACGTAAATATTAATATATATTATTACAAAAAACAATATCCATAAAGTACGACACATATATATTCCTAAATTATAGACTTCTATAATCATAAAATAAAATAACTATAATACTATATTCCACCATGTATATATCAAATAAACATGTATACATTAGGATAAATATTTATTTTAACAACTTATGAAAACAAACCATGTAGCAATAACACTTCATATCAGTACTCTATGATAATAAATTTCATAAGTTATTATTTTAAATAATTTTATATATTTTTACTGAAACATTATATCATATTAATATCATTAATCTAATTTTATGCACTCTAAGATATATAAATAATACTACACATATAATCTTGTGATGTAACAAATTCAACATGTTTAGTGTTAGGATGCAAGCCGAGTTTCAACTTATGTGGAAAACAATACTACTAGGACCTATATTCTTTTTAATAAAAACATTTTTTTGAATAAAAGATAAAGAATACTAGAATTTCTAATTAACATGTGAAAAAATTGCAAAAACTTGAATAAAAATGAGAAGATAAACTATAGATTTACCAAGTCACAAAAAGTGTTGTATCAAGAGAGTTTATATATCTTAAGACTAGATTCCAACTAAATACATATCACACTAAAAAATGATAAATACTATAAATTCTAACTAGAGGTCCCCATTGGAGCGTGCATGTTAATCATCACAAGATTTAAAAGAAAAAAGATAGATCCTAGAAATTCTTATAAAAATCATAAACATCTTACCATCAATTAGGTATATAATAATAATAATAATAGCTATTGGATCTATTCTATTTTCTAAATAATTATCCAGTTTTACTAGTGCAAAACAATATAAACTAGCTAACTCATGACTCTAATTTATATTACCCACGAATGCCGTTAAGAAACATGATCTAAAGTTGATTGCATTTAAGTATCGACGTCCTCCTATTATGATCGATAATTTACATAACTCAATTTTCATTGCATTATTAGAAAAATTAAATACTCCTTCAAATCTACATTTAAATTATCAACATCTCCAATTACAAAAAATTGTTTAGATAATAAATAGAGCATATATATGTTTATGCATTACCTCTCCTCTATCAATATTAATATAGTAAGATTTGATTAAAGTAAATATATGCGTCGTGCCAACATGCATGAGCAATAAAATACATATGTTATATTTCATCACATAAAAATATTTTCTTAACAACTCATATACCAATGATACTAACAAATTATTTAAAACCATATAATCATAACATATAATTTATATAGATTGTTACTTTAGATATATTTATGTACTTTAACTAAAATGTTGACATGTCTATATTGATAGTATAACATAACTGCAGATATAATTCCTTGATATGAAAATTCAATCATCTTGAGAAGTGTGGAGATCACTGGTAGCTATATTTTGGTTTTTTATTATCTTTAATCATTTTTATTCAATATTTTAGTATTAATCTCTCCTAAAAATTTTGCAGATCTAACTCTTTTGGTCGCACCAGTCCCGTTGAGCGTGACCAAATAACGCTGTCACCCCACATGCACTGGTGCGGTAAAATCTGCCACGTTGGACGGCGTTTTCAACGTGGAAAACCTTGTCATGTCAAGTTGGACGGGAGTGGCATGACAAGATTTTTCCACGCCAAAAACGCCCTACAACGTGGTAGATCAGGCCACGGGCGCGAGCATAGTGGTGGCAAGTGGCGACGGTGTGAAAGGCAGAGGCGATGCGTGCGCATTCCGATGGTGGGATACATCAGGAGAATAAGGGCCGTGGCTGCATGGTCCTTTCATAAGAGTTGCATGTCAGGGAAGAATAGAGAGTGGATGGGATACAAACTGCTTCAAGTACGTAGAGACTCTGGTGGCACAATCGACGGCAAAGGTTCCTTCATCACGTGTAATTCAGATCTATCTCATAGTCCAAAGAAGCTGTACATGGTTTTGGCCACATGAAAAGTCAATATCAGGTGCCAGGAAAGTTTTATTTTTTATGATTTCATAATTTCACACTAAAATAAAGTTACAAAATCTCCACAGCAACACGCGAGGTATTGTCAAGTTTACTATAATTATAAGCAATAAAGTAAACAAATGGGCCTTTCAAAAGACAGGTGTCGAAAAAAAGAGCAAGCAAAAAAAGTTTATTGAGATACGTAAGGAGCTCATTCTTTTTGTATTGCCAGGTTAGGAAATTAGCCACATTGTTCCAACTTTTAACTGTTCAACAACGTGCATGCCCAAATTCCAATGCCTACTGTTTTTGGCTTAATAAGTACCCAACGTATATTACAAGTTTACAGCAGCAGATCTTTTCTTTTCTATTTTGTTGCAAGCTGCTACCACAGATGATAATTTCTTACACCAACCATTTTAGAAGAAATTACCACATGTCACAAGTCACCACAAAAATCAACAAAATAAGCATGCTCATGTTGCCAGCAAATCAGAAGCCACTTTGTCACCCTCTACTCATCAAATGCCTGACTTCTTGTGTCACCTTGGTTTTGGAAATCTGGATATTGGTGATTTCTGAAACTTGGTTCGTTTTGGAAATTTAAATTACGCTGGTTTCTGATACTTGGTTCATTTTGGAAACTTGAACCACGCTGATTCCTGAAATTTGACTCATTTTGGTAACTTCGATCAGGGTGGCTTCCAAAAGTTTGACCATGCAAGCCAAAATCATCACTCAAGTTCGTATGAGCAAAACATGAATCACCCTGGCTTCTAAATCTTGGGTCACGCCGAGCAAAATTGTTCTCCATGTTCATGGGAGCAAATGCTACAAGAAACAGGGAGATAGTAGAAGAGAAATTGTGAAAAAAACACAACAGAACGTATGAAGGCTCAATGGAAGTAACACTAAATGAACTCATTCATTCTTGAGAACAGATTTAACACGGCTTATTTTATTGCAAGAAACAATACCATTAGCCATCTATGAAACTATTGACATGGTGCAAATGCCTCATATCGTTCATTTAACTTTATGTGTATAACCTTGAAGATAAACACATGAATGAAAAATATCTGGTACAAACCTCGTTCTCTCATTCTCCTTTCTCTGTCATATTCAAATTTGTCACGAATTTGAGTAACCCTTTCCCACGTTTCACCTTGTTTGTTCACCCCAAAGCCAAGGTCCTGCAGTACAAACTCGTTGTTCACAATGCTTTGATAGTTGCCAGTATTGTAGCAATCAAATGTGATTACTCATGCAGATCTGATATCGGTGAATTGACAACAAACTATGATCCAGTTAGTACAATGTAATGGGCGATTTTAATATCCATTTACTTCCATGTGTCATGCACTGTGCAAAGACAAATTAGATCCACTATGCCATTAGATGAGAGCAGTCACATGCATCCCAACTACTTAACTTCGATAATTCTAACTAGGTAATTCTCATATAAATACAGTGCAACAATGTGCTAAAGGTTGTTTCTTCAGCCACAATAACTGTCCTTGTATTCAGGAAGATGCATGGTACATGTCAGTAGGGTCAAGCCTGGTGACTGGTTTTTATGAATAGAGCAATGCACCAGAAAACACTACAAAAGGTTGACTAACTTTTCTGAACAAAATAATGCTGCATTGGAAGCAAAAGCAAGAAATATCTAAAATTAACATCTAGAAATGTGAAACTGTGGAGCAGACAGACTAAAACCCTTCAATACATGGTCAGGACTCAACCAATAGACAATGCAGATGTTTCCCTCTCGGTACCTGCTGTCTACAGGCGAACAGGGATAAAAGTACAAGATCAAAGAATTTGTGGCGAATTTCTGACTTGAGTAGTCCTCTAAACAGGTAAACTACCTACTCTGGTTCTTCATAATCTGTAACCAGTAGCTAACCTAGATAGTAGATACTCATGGAAGAGTGACAACTCTTTAGTAGAGTTGATACCATGTGTAACAGAAATTACATTAACTAATGTTTGACACCATAATCAATGCCATTGATAATTGGATGAGACATATGACTTTGGCTCCATTAAGCAGTGTAGTGGACCACAATGACATAGTTTGGTGGAACATCTTTTTTGATACGTTTAGTTTTTGTTAACTACTTTTCCCTAAGTCATGTTGCAAAGATCTGTTGCATTACCAAGATGCGAGTAGATGCTAAATAAAAGCCAAGTGAGACAAAATAGAGGAGTAACCATTCGATAACAGTTGTAACCAATAGTCTGATTTACCAAATGGTGCACCATGTTTTTTGGATCTGATTTTCAACATAGAGTTTTAAAGTACACTTAACAGATTGGCCCATATTATTCTTCTATAGTTCAATCAGTTTCCGTACAAATGGTAAGAAGTAAGCAAAGGATCTGACAAGAACCCAATAGCCAAAGCATTAGCATAAGCAAATTTAGTCTAGTAGAATATGCAAATCCCTCAGTGTAAAGAAATGATATACGAGATGTATCAGTACTACTACTACAAAGAGAACGCACCTTGTTTGGTTCTACATTGGACTGCCTTCTCCTGCTGCAATACAAAAGCAGTGATGAGACTGTTTCCAGAATGAGGATATAAAATACTTTTTCCACTAATTTTTTGATATAGCATGACCCACTCAAATGGTTACAAATCAAAACATATTCGTAAACAATTAGAAGTTGCAACAATCCAACAAACAATCGTGAGGGCACAGTTCTACTGGGTATGATCAAAACATTACAATGGAAAGCAAAAGCATGTTATATGGTGTAAAAAATAACCAATTAAATTAAGCAAGGAAAACAAAAGAGAACTGTTGACCATTTGCTACCTGTATGGCGAGAAATCAAGATCATCTTCTTCAGCAGAGTCATAATTAGCACGAGATTCAGCAATCTTTTTTGAATAACCTTCGTCCCAGTACAACCTTTCCCAGTTTTCTCTAAGTTCTTGGTATAATTCCATGTACTTTTTGCACCATGTTTCGTGTTCCTGTAAATTTGTGGTGCTCACTAGTCAGCTTCCTAGCATCAAAGAAACCAGTTTGGGCTTATAGTTAAAGGCCACCATAATCAATAAATTCTAAGACAGTTCATGTGCCTCAAAATTTTTACAAGTCCTAGGATTCCAAACTTCATAAAATGCATGCCAGTTGCCAGCATGGCCAATCATCTCAAATAATAATGGTGTTCCGATTCAGTTCATTCCAATCTGACAAAGTTGCATCATGGACTCATAATCAAGTGTCAATGGAATCACTGGACTGATGAATTTGTTACATGAATGCAAATGAACCAGCATAATTCCTTTCACATTTTAAATTTACCAAATCCTTCCAGAATGAATAAGGAGCCATTCCGCAATAATTGATTTCACTTAATCATCTGAGGAAATAAACAGGCTACTCCAGTTCTATGCAATTGGAGAAGCTGACATTTGAACCCATTTCGATTGGATACCCTCGACTTATGATTCATCACAGTACTATTCTGCGCTTAGATTAAATTCATCACATAATAACTAACCACCCAACCAGTAGGCACGGCGGCCAGTCCTAGAGCAGCGGAAGAACTGTAACTGTAAGGCTCGGCCGCGGCTTACCGAGTCTTTGAGAACGAGGCGGGTGCGGCGCATGAACTGCTCCCGCATCTGCTTGCGGCGACGGTTAGGGAGGTTGTCCCGCGGGATGGCGAAGCGCTCGCGATGCGGCACGCCGTCCCCGATCTCGTGCATCTCCCCGTCCACCGCCCACCACTCCGACTTCTTCGTGCCCACACCCGCGGCGGGGCCGAGGCCCGGCGGTGGCGGCTTGGACCAACCGGTGCCGCCGGTTACGAAGCCCCCCCGGCGGTGCGCCCACCGCCGCTGCGTGTACACGCAGCGCAACATCCTCTCGCCGCTTCCCCCGGGCTGCAGGCCAGGCTCCGGCGGCCGACGGCTCCCTGGCACGCGTCCTCTCAGGCGCGACAGGATCGGGCGGGGAAGCGCAGCTGGCAGCAGGGATGTGGGCGGGCGGAAGAGGGAAGCTGGTGGGGTGGGCTCTCTGTGGGCCGTGGGCGCGTCGCCAGCGGGCGGATGAGGGAAGCCGGCGGGCACGGCCGTCGGCTCCGCCGACGCGGACGGTGCCCCTCCCGGTCTCGCGAGATTCCCTTCACGAAGAGAACGGGAAGAAAACGCCGTGACTCATGGATCCTCGGTTCTATTAAGTTGGCCAGGGGCAAAAGAGTAATCTCATGTGCTCCTATTTTCTCAGATTATTACGTAGAGAAAATTACTAGGATTATAACGGAAATGCCTGTATCCGTGCGTTCGGACACATCGGATGGGGCCACAAGCAGGCTCAGACACCTCCATCCTCAGTCTCATCTTATTAATTATCTCTGGTCTTATCCTCTCATCTTACTTTTTCACCATCGTCCACCCTTGCCGCATAGCATCGCTAATGGCAAGTTTATCGATACTCACAAGCTCAACACCTGGGTGGACACCGACAACTGTGCCGGCGATAATGTCGCAGTAACTATTTTTACGATGTTGTGTTATTTGTTTCTCAAGATGTCGTTTCATTAATCAATGAGTTTTGGATATTGGAATGGATGATTTCACAACAAATTTGAGATGTTGCAGCAAAAACATATTCGATTTGCAACCTCGATCCTTTCTTTTGATGTTGCAACTTATGCTTATGTGAAGTTGTAATAGAAATTCATGGATGTTGTGGTAGATATGTTGATTTGTTTCATCAAACTTTATTTTGATCGAAACATGTTGTCATGAGGTAGAAACTAATCATTTTATGATGTTCTAAATTTTTGCTTACATTGTTGACATTAAATCCTCTCAATGTTGCAAACAGGGTCTTACAAGGTCTTTTTCCCATGTCGCAACATGTGCTTTTGTGATGTTGCAATAGCAATTCTTAGATATTGTGGCTGCACCAGCCATCCCTCCTATGGAAGAGCTTGAACTTTTTGTAACTCTTCCTAGATCTAATAGAGAGGGTGACATCATCTAGTAGAGCTCTGCCTAGTAGCAGCGATTCCTCACTAGGGAGTGATTAGAGACAGGAAATGAGTGGGGAGCAATAGGCACGACAAGAGGAGGGGACGGTGATCACACGTAAAGCAGATAGTAGAAGGTGTAGGATCCTGCAGCCCACTTGTGTGGTAGGGGCATCATAGAGACCAGAAGGGCTAGCAAGAAATCTGGCAGACATGCTGCAAATGTTTTTAAAACTTGTTCTGACAATATTTTTATATGTTACAGGAGCTTTTTTGCCTTATCATTTCCATAAATGTACAATGTTGCAACAAGTTTATCGATTGCTTGTGAGTATCGTGTCAATGCTTGCACTTTCGAATTAACTATTTTTATTTATTTTGGTAACTATTATCAAATGTTTCAGTAAGTTTCAATAACTATTATTTACTTTGGCAACATTAGTCAGTAACAACATTGAGTGACAAACATTAGTGAGATGAACATGTGATAAGTCCACAAGCTAAGTTGAGAGACATGGAATAAGCCATGGAGGAGAGATGATATGTGCATGTGAGAAGTGCTCAACTAGCAATGAGTTGATCGAGTTGACGATCCAAGTGATGGACATATTGAGTATGTGCTGAAAGCATCTAGTCCCCTAGTTGGGTTTCGGTGATTAATGACTACACAAGATTACTGTGAACTAACGTGTGTTTTGCAGAGGCAATTAAAGTTAGGTCACGTTATTGGTGATTGATTGGACAATTATGGTTTTCATGCCCCTGTCGATGGAAATCACTTCGGTTTTCAAAGGATGGACGACAGGGTTAAGGACGGACTAGTTCTAAGTATTGTTTGGCGTTGAGAGACACTTAGATTAGTTGTAGGATTTCATTTTTTTTCCTTTGGCCATACTATAAAGGGGGGCATGGATGGGTAGTGTCGGGGACCTAATACCGGGGTACCTAATGAGGTGGAACTAATGACCATCGAACATTGACGCTTCTGATCAGACGAGAACGCTACTGTGCTTCTTGTCCGAACGACAGAAGACTGGTTCCGCCTCGCCTGACCTCCGAGGGCTAGGCTTCGCCTCGCTCGACGGCTAAGGGAACCCCCGAGGGCTGGCTTCGAGGGCGAGCTCCGCCTCGCCTGATGGCTAAGGGCTGGCTCCGCCTCGCCGGACGTCCGAGGGCGAGCTCCGCCTCTCCCGACGGCCAAGGGCTAGCTCCGCCTCGCCCGACCCCCGAGGGCTGGCTCCGCCTCGTCTGACGGCTACACCCTGCTCCTTCATAATGACGAGCACAGGGTACGACATGACATTCGAATCAAACGCAGTACCAAGGACCATGCCCTGCACCGCTGCAGGAAAGTACCGTCAGGGTACGACGGGACGGGCGCTTTAGACCATTCTGGGCATGGCAGAGTCCGAATAGTGTTGTAGGCACCGCCTTCAACCATCGGGCGCGGAACCTGACATAAACATACGACAACCACTACGGTCCAAGAAGAGACTCGCGCCCTCTACAGTGACGAACGTACAGTCACCACACCGTCCGCTCCCCATAGGGCTACAGGTCAACACCACTATCCAACACGTCACCCGGGGGGGGGACGGGATGTGACCACTTGCGGATCAGGTAAGGGCGTGGCGTCGTCAGCACACATGCGTCCGGCAAACGTGCCAATCCCTGACACTGTCTGGCCGTGTCAGCAAGGCCGGCTCAGCGGAAAAGGAGGACCCAACACCTTCGGAGGGGCTCCTAGGCCTTTGGTTTCTCTCCTTTCTCCAACATGTAACCCCTGCTCCCCCTTGGTCTATAAAAGGGAGGGCAGGGCACCCCTACCTAAGGGAGGAGAAAAGGTGAGAGAAAGATCGATTGATACGATTCGACAACACACACCACACACAGCTGAGTAGCGACTAAGCTCTCGACGACCTCTCGACCATTCCATCAGAGACTTGGGACCCGTCCCTCTCTCGACTGTTTGTACCCCCTACTACGAACCCTTTTCGGTACTAATAACACGAGCAGCAGCAACTGGACGTAGGGACATTCAACCCGAACCAGTATAAACCTTGTGTCCTTTAGTGCGCCATCCGGGCCTAACGCGCAATAATTATAAATTTATTAGCCGGTGTTTGTTCGAAACACCAATAGTTGGCGCACCAGGTAGGGGCCTTTGCGCGTTCCAAATCAGGCCTCGGATGGCTAACCACGCAATCAGTTGGGTCTCGGGCGCACATGTGCGTATCGGTGACCTGGACTTCATCGTCACGGTGGGAGGAGAGTTGGCGTTGGCCCATCTCGTCGTCCAATCTCTCCCCTCCATCAGCTTCGGCTACCGGAGGCTTGAGCGCCAGCCCGACGTCTCCCTCGGACCCCAGCCGTCTAGGGAGGACCCGCGCCGCCTCACCCTCTCTCCGGAATGCTCCGCACGGAGCGCCCTGATGGCGTTTCTGTTCGGTCTCCACAACGCCGCGGCGACCATAAGCCACCTTGTGGCCCAACGCACGATCTCGTCCCCCGCAAACAATGAGTTCGTGGGGATGATCGAATGCGTCACAGAATCCCTCCACGGTCTCCTCGCGGAAGGTCCAGGGTCGAACTCTGGCTCTGATTCCGGCAGGGGGAGCCATCATCCCTCTCGGGAATGCTTCATGGTGGAAACCTTCAAGGGACATGTCGAAAACACCTCCGAGAAGGAGGTCACCCCGGTAGGCAACCTCAGTGATGGAACTGAAGGGATAACGGTGGCCCCGTCCCACATAGGGGTGGAGCAGCTAAAAGCCCGAAAACGGGAGATCAACGAAGCCGGACAACAACTTGTTCAGGAATATGTGTTGGTCGATCGGGAGATCGAACGCCACGGAGAAGGAGGGTGCGCACGCGCCGTGGCCCGCGATATAAACCGAAGGATCATCACCGACAATGAAACCCTTCCTCACTTCACTCGGGCGAGCTAGAACATCGCTGCCACCATGGCCTTGCTCCATGGCCTTCCAGAGGCCACAATGCCCGAGGATCGCTGGGCCCACCATGAAATTCACACGCTGCTCGAGCGTGCGGCGGCGCAGCAGGCGGAAAGCTCGTTGTCTCAACATCGCGAACTTGACACCAGCTAGCGTACGCCCTCAGTACATCCCGCCAGGGACGCATCAGTCCACCAAGCACCACAAGGCGGCGGGCAGCGCGTTGCGACCCAGATACATCAGCGTCTCGGCCGCGACCACGACGCACGCAACACCATCGACGCTAGCAGGCGCACCTATGGCGACCCAGGGGAAGGAGCCCGCCGCGGCTATCATCCTCGATGCAGTGGACGCTACGACAGCAGCGAGGACTAGAGCCCGAGCCCCGGCCTGCCAGGCCCTCAGGCCTTCGGTCGGCACATCCTCAACGCTACGTTCCTGCCAAGGTATCGACCACCTACTAACATCCCTAAGTACTCCGGGGAGACAAACCCCGGCTTTGGCTTGAAGACTATCGGCTTGCCTATCAAGCCGATGGTGCGGATAATGATGACTTCATTATCCGCAACCTTCCACTGTTCTTGGCCAATTCGACTCGGGCGTGGTTGGAACACCTACTGTCCAACGCAATCCAGAGTTGGGCGGACCTGAAGGAGATCTTTGTGGGAAACTTCTAGGGCACGTACAAACGCCCTGGGAACCCATGGGACCTCAAGAACTGCCGTTAGAAGGCCGGTGAGACCCTCCATGGGTACATCCAGCGCTTCTCCCGGTAGTGCAACGAGCTCCCTAACATCGCCGACGCCGACATGATAGGAGCCTTCTTGTCTGGGACAACCTGCGAGTCCTTGGTTCATAAGCTGGGATGCAAGGGCCCATGAACCACCAAGGAGGTCCTGGACATTGCCACCAGCCATGCCTCAGGAGAAGAGGC